TAACACTAATATGTTTCAATGCAGAGAAACCTTAGCTACCTAGCACATCAAGGAAGAAAGCATTGTGTGTGATCTGATTAAATAAATGGTATATACCTTCCAGCACCATACTGTATTTAACTACTGCTTATCCTTAATAAAATTTTTGAGATTTTTTGGAACATAATATTTGTAATGGCTAAGAAAAAGAGCTTTACAATCTGTAGTTCATGTGTTTGAATTTTGGTTCTGCTGTATACTGTACCATGGCTAAATGACTGATTTTAAATCATCACTGCCAAATTTGTAAAGAGGAAGGAAATAACCTGTGTTTCCCTGGTTGATGTGAGTGTGAGGTAGAAGGCTTGGCTGTACCATGTCACTGTCATGGTGATGGTGGTCTGGGTTGTGGCACTGCAGTGTACCGCTGATTCTGTGTAACACCTGTGTTCCAATTCATCCATCAGCAGCTTTAGCCACCCTCCTGAGTCTGCAGTTCTCCACACCCCCAGCCCTACTTCTTTCTCTGAGGCTCCTTATCCTGAATCCCTTCATCACATTTCCCTGCCTTTAACACTTCTCATCTGTAACTCCCAGTGCTTGTTCCTCTTCCTCCCTTGTTTACTACCTGCAAAAGATAGAATTAGCTGGAAGCGCTCCCTGCAATTGGTGGCTGGTCCCACTAGTGAAGAATGGAAGTAGATCACTGGTGCATCAGGGAGCTGGAGTCGAAGCACTGCCCAGAGGCCACCCTCCTGAGAGCAGGGTACCGCCCTCCAGGGAGGGAAAGGACAGACAGAGCCACGAGGGACATAAGAAGGATGAGACCAAGGATATCCCTGGAATGGCTGTTCGTGCCTTGAGATCAAAGTTTAGAAACTCAAAAGTTCAATATAAGGTGACTTCCTAGCCACATCCTTCTCCACCAGAGGATCACATACCACGTCAGGATTTGGAATTTAATGAGCTTGTCGTCACGTAGAATCCGCTTTATTTTCCTCTTAGCTGAGGTCAGAAAAAACAAATCATGGAAACATATAGCACGTTCTTTGGTGAGATGAATTCTTACTGAAGCTGAGAGGCCCCTTGAGTAAGCATGCCAGTGGGGAAGTCTAACACCGGAAGGGGAGCCAGCTTCTCTCTCGGAACCAGTGGAACTGCCAGAAGTAGAGTCCCAGGAAGTGCTGTCTTGCAAATAATAACCAGAGTTTTTGTCCAGTCTAAAAAAAAAAATTGGTGTTTCTTCACAAACACACATGAGTTCAGTAAAATCTCCGAGCTTTAGCATATCAGAGACGGGCGTGTTTGAAGTGGGTTTATAATTACTCCATCCCCAATTTCCCAACTCAGAAATCTGCTACTTTAGCAGGTGGGTAAATTGTACAAAAGTATAAGTACAGTCAGGTTTTGATGATGATGACACCAAAAAAGGGCTTAAATGATAATTAATTTTAAAATTTTATGATTAACAAAGTATTCCTTATTTTTAATCTTATGTTAGTTTATTTTTAATATTATTTCTATTTTCCATGTAATAGTAAAATGTTTTATATTTATCTTTATAAAGTTACACTTTTGTATTTCTAAACTTTTATATTTGTGATATATTAAATATTTGGATTCACTAATTTTTGTTATGGAATCTTTTAAATAGAGCAAATATAGAAAATAAACACTTTAATTTTGCTCCATTATTTAGTCACTCTTGGGGGAGATGTCTAAATGAGATTTCAGATGAGACTAAAAGATGAGAGGACATAGTCAACAGAACAAGGACTAATGGGAAGAACATTGAGAGGTTTTTGGGTGAGAAAGAGCATAGGGAACTTGAGCACCTGAAAGAAGTTCAGTATAGTTGGCTCTCAGAATTTAGAAGGCTGAGAGAGGTCCGAGTTGAGGCTGGAATAACAGGCTCCTGATGGGTTACGAGGATACTGGTAAGCCAGGGAAGGATTTTAAGGTTAGTAGTAATTGGTGAGATTAGAATTTTAGAAAGTTGATCTGGCTGCTGTGTGAACAAGATGGATAAAAGCAAACTAGTTATTAAAGACCCTCAAGCAGATAACGAATAGGGTAAGTCAGAGGCAGTGAGAAGAAGAGAAGTCAGAACAGGCATTCAAAGGGCATGGCAGTGGGTCTAGCGTGTGTACCTGGGTCAGTGTGGGAGCAGTTGCTGACACAGGGTCTGCAGGGAGGGCCGTATGGTTTCTGTGGGAATCTGCAGATGCTCTCGGGGATAGCTCTGGGCCTTAGGGGAGAGTGGAGTGGACTTGTACACCACAGAGCATCATCTGCATTTGGATGGCAGTTGAGCTTCTGCAAGTGGTTGGAATAGTCAGTAGAAAGAGCACTGGAACCTGTGCAAGAGCACCTGGAGGGCTAGAAGCCAAGTCAGAATAGGGCGGTGCATGGAGCCAACAATTGGAGTTCTCCCGTACAGAAGGAAGTGATCCTGGGCGTGGGCTGTTTCCAGGACGGGGAGCAAGATGTGGACAAACAGTGCCCTTCGTGTAGCTGTAAGGTAGTTGTTGCTGATGAGCGTGGTGGAGATCAGACCATAGCATTTGGAAAGTGAGAGGTTGGGCAGCTCTTTGAGAAGTTCCCAGTGGAAGAAAGGAATCATATTTTAGTTCTGAATGATGCGAAGGAGAAAGAAAAAGAGTAAGAGGTACATAAAAAGTTGTTGGAGAAATGAAATTAGAAGATTCCTTTGGTGCAAAAAATTGCAATCTGTGCATAGGTTTTCATAATACCTATGTTCCACAAACTTTTCGATGACCCATTGTATGCATGGATTTCGAAGGATTTTGCACCATAATAAACTTGCCTTTTAATTCTGTTTTCCACAAACTTTTTCAAGTGCTGTCATCTGTTTGAAGGAGACTTGAGCCTGATTAGATGATAATGAGAAGGAACAACTAGAGAAGCAGGAACTTAAAGAGAGGGAGAGTGAGGCCTCAGTGTCTCTGAGAAGGTGCAGCCAGGGGAGGCCAGGAAGTAGGGGAGATAAGATTTGTGTTGTAAGTAGAAAGAAGTGTGCTGCTGGATGCCGAGAGAGAAAGTGATAAAGAAGTTTACTTCTGGGATAGTTTCTTATTTTTGTGTGTGGCAGGCAACGTTGTCATTTGTTGAGACTGGGGAGAAGGGTAGGTAGGTAGAAGTGGGAGAGGAGTGGAGAAAGTTTAAAAACTGGCTCTGTAGAAACAGCTGACTGGGGAAAGCTTGAGGACGGGGTACGAGCTCTCCTGTATCTCTTTGAATTTCACAGTAGCACAAAGCGAGAGTACCACCTGCCCTGCCTGGGGTGTGTGTGCAAGGGGTGTTTGAAGAGTTTTTAGAGTCAGGTTTTGGTTGAGTCCATGAAGTTCAAGGAAAGGAAGGACATAAACGGGACTCAGGTATGCCTGTGACGCATTGGCTGTTGTGTGCTGCAGTGCTAAGACGTCCTCGCAAGCCATTGAAGTGCTCCTTCAGTAACGGCCCCAGACTGCTGTCTTGTTTTTCTTTAAGTCCTTGTCCGCTTTTTTATATTCTTTCTGTTTCCTCCCTTTCTGTTTTCTCCTTGTTGTCAGTTGTTCTATCACATTGCTGTCTGCATGCAAGTCTGTATGAGCCCTACACCTTGGACTTTGTCAACATCTGGAATTACCCCATCTCTGAAATAAAGCTGTGGGCTTGAAGACCAGACAAGCAAGCTTATTAGAGTTGTGTGCAAAGTAAGAGTAAATAAATACCCCTGAGTGTGATTCTCACGTGCTGTGCTTCGAGGATGTTACATGAGTTTTGTGACATTTATTGGGTTGTTTCTCAGTTGTCCATATATTGGATGTTTGTTGCCTGCATTCCCATTGTGTTTTTCTTGTTTTGAATTTCCATGGATTATAATATTCTTAGAAAGACCCACTATTTATGATTGTATCTCTTGTAATTGTGGTTTAGTATTACAAACTACTTGCCTATACATTACCTAAATTTTAAAATACCTGATTAGATATTTTATGTTATTATTCTCATGGATTTTCAAATATTTATATAATTTGTATGGAAATAACATATTTTCAAATATTTATGCGTTTTTTTGTGAGAATGACATGCCACATCACAATTTGATCATCTCATCATGTTACATGTAAATGAAATAGAACAATATGTAGTAAATATTTTGGAGGTTTGAAAAATAAGTTACCTACTCTAGCTTTTCATATGTTTCTGTGTTTTATGGAGTTCCTCATCAGTGAACCTTTCCTGTACATATCAACACATACATAAGAAGTGCCACTTTTTAGCAGTCTGTAAATTAACTTACTTTTGATCCCCACCTTCCTTCCTGTCAGGAGGGAGGTGCGTTCACAAGCAGTCACTTGGAGACTTTTCCCTAGTGCCCAAGTGAGCTGAAATCTGGGGCCCTGTAATGGGAACACAGAGGCGAGGCCCTGACTCATCAGCCACGTGGTCACACTGGTTCCCTAGGAGATGCCTGCTCCCGGCTTCCATGGCTTTCCTGGGTAACTCCTGTGCTCAGTGCTCCCGCCTCCTCCCTGGCTGGCTTTGCCTTTGCCTTTGAGCATGCCCATCTCACGTGGGCTCCCTGCGCGTGGGAGTGTGGTCATTTCCGTCACACCCCTTTCTCCTCTCTCTAATCCAGGGAACACCTTTTAAAACTCTCTCCTCAAACTGTGTTCTCAAGAGGTTTAAGATTATTTTTTTTTCTTTTTAAAGCTAAAAAGCTCTGACACACACAGTATAGCCTATTTAAATGGTGGGATATAGAAAAAGAGGAGTAGTAAGTTTTAAGGGCAGTAGAAAACTCAACAGGACATCTCTAATCAGCATTACCATCTCTGGAACAAAACCTTGGTAGCCTTTATTTTTATAACTCACTAAAGAGCATTAACATCTTTTAAATGTGTTTACTTCTTATTGATGTAATTTCTTAGTGGTGATCTTAAATACTGAGCAGAACTTGATATTTTCAAAGTGTTGGGTAAGTTTTAATTTTGTTTTGTCTTATTTTACCCAAGAACACTGGAACTATTTTGGGGCTGACGAGAATCTTGGTCCAGTGGCTGTGAGCATTCGAAGGGAGAAACCAGAGGAAATGAAGGAAAACGGATCTCCATACAACTACCGAATAATTTTTAGAACTAGTGAGGTAAGTTTTTGAATGAAAGAGATTTGAAGCATAATGGAAGTGAGGAAAAAATATAGTAGTAGCAATACCAAAGCAATTGAACTTAGTAGCACATGGTTACAGATGTCTTTGGAATAAACAAAGGCTTCTTTCTCTCTTTCTTGTGGTGATGGGGGTGGACAAGATGAGTAGATCTGAATCCTTTCTTTCAGTCTAGCCCTGGACGGATGCCATAACTGAATGGGCGTTTTGATGAAGAGCATATCCATTTAGTGTAGCCCAAGGACACTCAAGTGCTCAGAATCGCAAATGGCTGGCAGGTGTCTGGCCTGATGATTAAGATGCCCAAGTCCCACATCAGAGTGATTCCCAGCTCTGGCTCCTGACTCCAACTTCCTGCTATTGTAGACCCTGGGAGACAACGAGGATGGCTCAAGTGGTTGCGTTCCTACCACCCACATGGGAGGCCTGGTTTGAGCTCCCAGCCCTAACTCCATCTCTAGTTGAGCTAGAGCCATTGCAGGCATCTGGGGAGCAAACCAGCAGATGGGAGAATCCGGCACAGGAGATTGCCCATCCTAGTCTCCTTCTCAGGACGGCCAGCATGCTTATGGGTGACAGAGGTCTCCTGAGATTGAATGCAATCTTCCTAGCAATTGTGTGGGACATTTCTTAGATGTTGAGGAGGGAAAGGAGCTTTTCTTCTTTCCTCATTTTGCTGTCTCTTGGACCTGTTCTCCTAGGCTTAGAGCTAGAACTGAACCAGAGACCATCTAATTATGGGGAAGATGGGTTTCAGGAGCTCTTCAGGAATCTAAATGCATATAATATATGAGCTTTCATTCAAGTTAGAAAAGGAAAAATAAGTAGCCAATGAAGCTTTTTTAAATTTTTTTTTAGAGAAGACTTGTGACAGATCTGGAGCTCCGAGGTTCTTGTTTGTTTTCTTCCTCGACCTGTGTATTGTTGTGCCAGTTACCAGCTTATTGCCACTCAGCCTCTCACGTTGGGATTGTTGTTGTGTATTAAAGCCTAACTCCCCCTCGAGCTATCCAGAAAATAATGGGATTGGAACCAGTTTAAATTGGGCATTTGGCCTCATTTCCCCCACTGAATGTCAGGCAGGTTTCAGGGGTCGGCCTGTCTTAGTAATTGTTCCTGAGCTTGAACCCCAGGGAAATTAAAAATGAGATTTCTACAAGCAAGGCTTTAACATCTAATGTGTTGCTTGTGATGGCCAGAGAGAAATGAAGGATCGCTTGGAGCTGATCACGAGGCAGGGTGAATTCTTCCGCAGAGCGGGAAAAGCAGAGCCGTGCCGTGTGGAGCGCCTTGCTTCTTGTGAGGCGTTTTGCCCCTCCTTCGGCTCCTTGGTTTTAAGCCCCTGTCAAATGCCTCCTTTCCCATGGTTCTCAGCCATTAGACCCATCACCTTGCCGTGTCCTAGCCTGTGCCATGTTCCCGAGGTAGAAGTTCTCCACCTCCTGTCACTGGTGGCCGTGGGCCGTCCATTCTTGCCTCGCAGGCACCCTCCCTCTCCAGGGTTAACTTGTGGCCTCAGTCCTTCCATGGGCCCTGAGCCACACCAACTCCAGCCTTTCTCACCTCTGTACTTTCACTGCCTGCTGCCTCACCTGCCCACAGTGCTCTGCTTACATGCCCCTCACCATGTCATTGGCTTAGAGTCTTTACCTGCCCGCCCATCTGAGTGTTTCATACCCTTTCTCTTTGCCTTTGATTAAAAGATCCAAGTCAGGGGTTGTTCAGCGACCCTAACCAGCTCTTATTTAAATTCAAATGAACGTTCAGTTTATGGTGAGGCCATTACTTCATCTGTTTAAGCCAAAAGCTTTGAAGTCACAATTGACTCTCTTCTACTCCTCCTTCCCATACCTCAAATCTGGTCTGTCAGGAACGTTTGAGTTTTAGCCAGAACTTGGCCACTTCTCCCATCCCCACTGCCTTGTCCTGGTCCCTGTGTTGCTTGGAGCATTGGTCTCTCTTTGCTTCTGCCCTGCAGATTAGCGTTCTTTCCATCCAGCAAGGGTCTTCTTAGGTTGTGATCCAGATCTTGTCATACTTCACTCCAGAAGCCTTAAAGGGTTCCCATGTCCCTCTGAACAAAAGCCAGTGTGCTTGCCTTGCTCGGGAACCCTGCACACCTGCTCCCCAGTTCTCTCTCCCGCCTTACCTCTAGCAGCTCCCCGGCTTTCTTCTCTTCTTCTCCTACTGCATCAGCTTCCTTCCCCTCTGGGCTGCCTGGACTTTCTCTGCCTGCAGGCTCTGAGACTCCCCTTCCTCACTTATTGAAGATCTTCCCCCAGCACCCCTGGGGCTCCAGCCCTCTCATTTTCCTCTACCCTTTAGTCATAAATTCCAGGAGCTCTCTTTGGCCACTGGATCTAAAATGTCTACTCCTTCTCCATTTTGTAGCCAATTCAATGCTTTATTTCTCACTAACACTTAACAGTGTCTTAGACATTATACTTCCTTAGTTTGGTTTGCCTGTGTCTCCCACTACAGTGCTGACGCCATGAGGGTGGGGCCGTTATCTGAGTTCTTTGTTACTACACACCTGAGAGCTAAAACAGCAGCCTCCATCCTTCCTGTCCTTCTTTCTCCTTCCTCCCTGCTGTTTCATCCCCTTTCCCACCTCCTCCTCTTCCTCTGAATGTTAAATTGCCACTAATGTTTGTGTAGTTTTTTCCTTCCTAGGAAAATAATCCTAAGGGTGGTTTAATTGTATAAGACTTTATATAGAAGTAAACAAAAGTCTTTTGATATATTCATTGTTTGCTAATTTGACTTGTTTAAAAACCAGAACAGCAGAGAAAGAGAAAGAGCTACCTGCTGGTCACTCCCCAAATGCCCACAAGCGGCCGGGGATGGGCCAGGGCTCTATCCAGGTCTCCCATGGGGGTGACAGGGACACATGCACTGCCTCTTAGGATACATTAGCAGGAAACTGGGTCAGAAGCGGAGGAGCCAGTGACTCAGACCAGAAACTGATATGGAATGTGGGCATCCTAAGCAGCAGCTTAACCCACTGCACTGTAACGCCAGCCTCCTGACAGAAGTATTTTCAAGTGCTGGTCCCTGTCCATCACTCATGGATCATCGCCTTACTGTTCTTGTCGAAGCCAGGTCAACAGATATATAATGACGGAAGATGGGATTTATATTAGGGCTTCTCATGTTACTAATCTCCCATGCCAGTAAGTGCATCCAGAAAAGAAAGAAACATGGGCATCGCTCTTTCACCCTGGTGGCTTAGTAAATGGCATGAAGATAACAAGAATTCAAGCGAATCTCTTTGATTTTAGTAGGGATAGTCAGTGCAACAAAGGAGCCAAAATGACCTTGCAAGGCATCTGTAGGCAGCTTGTGTGTGGCCAATCTTAGTGCATGTGAATGTTTTCAAGCATAAGAGCACAAGGACTCATCTCCCAAGGCGCTCTTGTTTCTGGAAGTCATTCCCAGCAATATCAGAACATCACGCAGTTACTGGGATATAAACATGAGTCTTTCTTTTTCCCATCTCCTTAGACTTCTGTGGAACCCATGGCTATCTTTCTGTGGCACAGGATACAATGGTTCGCGTTTCTGGCCCTAGCTTCTAAAATGAGAATACTCTCAGCCTTTGATCCCCTATCCCAAAGCATGTTATTTTTATTTATTCATTTATTTTTTATTTTTTGACAGGCAGAGTGGACAGTGAGAGAGAGAGACAAAGAGAAAGGTCTTCCTTTGCCGTTGGTTCACCCTCCAATGGCCGCCGCAGCCGGCACGCTGCGGCTGGCGCACCGCGCTGATCCGATGGCAGGAGCCAGGTGCTTCTCCTGGTCTCCCATGGGGTGCAGAGCCCAAGTACTTGGGCCATCCTTCACTGCACTCCTGGGCCACAGCAGAGAGCTGGCCTGGAAGAGGGGCAACCAGGACAGAATCCGGTGCCCCAACCGGGACTAGAACCTGGTGTGCCGGTGCCGCAAGGCGGAGGATTAGCCTAGTGAGCCACGGCGCCGGCCGCATGTTATTAGCTCATGAAAGGAAGGGCCCAGTAGTTACTGAATTTCAGCTGTTTCCCAGGACTTACAAGCAAAACAAAGACAATTCCTGTTGCATTAGATGGTAATAGGAAAATGATGATTTTTATTCATGTTATTTGAAAGAGATTATCCATAAATGAAAGCGAACAGATACTCATCAGATGAATAGACTGCAGATAGCTCCAGTACCTTGTTCTTGTATTGACAGTAAAGCGTGGTCGTCTCTGTCAGCTCCATCAGGTAGCAGGTGCAGACATGTCCTCACTGGCCATCTTCCTTTCGGTTTCCGTGTTCCCTCCTCATCCTTACATCATGTTCTTCTTTGCTGAAGACCTAACTGTATCTTCTGCCTCCAGTTTCTTCTCTTACAGGTCACCTCATTTGCTGTCTTAATCTCTCCTTTTTTTTTTTTTAATAAGATTTATTTTATTTATTTGAAAGACAGGGAGAGAGATTGATCTTCCATCTGCTGGTTCAATCTCAATGGCCGCAATGGCTAGGGTAGGCCAGGTTGAACCAAGAACTAGGAACTGCGCTGATCCGAAGCCAGGAGCTTCTTCCTGGTCTCCCATGTGGGTGCAGGGGTTCAAGCACTTGGGCCATTTTCCACTGCTTTCCCAGACCATTAGCAGGAAGTTGGATCTAAAATGGAGCACTGGGGGCCAGCACTGTGGCATAATGGGTAAAGCTGCCACCTGCAGTGCCAGCATCCCATATGGGCACTGGTTCGAGAACCGGCTGCTCCACTTCTGATCCAGCTCTCTGCTGTGGCCTGGGAAAGCAGTGGAAGATGGCCCAAGTCCTTGGGCCCCTGTACCCCCATGAGAGACCCAGATGAGGCTCCTGGCTTCTGGCTTCAGATCAGCACAGCTCCGCCTTTGCGGCCAATTGGGGAGTGAACTAGCCAATAGAAGACTAATTCTCTCTCTCTCTCTCTCTCTGACTCTCCCTCTCTCTCTCTGTAACTCTGACTTTCAAGTAAAATAAATAAATCTAAAAAATAAATAAATAAAATGGAGCAGTGAGGACTCGAACTGGTGCCCATTTACCATTCCAGCATCACAGGCAGTGGCTTTGCAGGCTGCGTTGCAGCACTAGCCCCTGCTGGCTTAATTTCTGAGAGTACACATCATTGTCCCCATGCACACACATTCTGAGTAGCCATTGGAGCCTGGTGAGTGTGTGTCCCTCAGGCAGCTGCAGGGTCCCTGGTTTGCCAGCTCTGTGGCTTTAGTGTCACTCTTCCTGGTGCTCTCTGCAGGTCCAGCTCCAACATTGCACCTCCTGCTCACACCCTGTTTTTCCTGTTGCTGTTACCTTGGCTCATATTTTTGCTGACATTTTCTTCTTGTAGAAGAAGCTATTCCTGTGTTTTGTAGTTCCCCACTAATGTTACCCCTTCCTCTCCTGCCTTGAACCACTTGGATCCATTCTTGACCGTCGGACTGTCTCAGGGCCTGACTTTGCTGTGCTTTCCTTAGTACACATGTCCTCTCCTTCCCACACTGTATTTGCGTATTTCTCACCTCTCACCCTATTACGCTGCTCATTTCCCTCTGCATGCACTCTGCCAGCTTTTGTGGCTCCTTACAAGTTACATGCTTAATGAAGGTTGTTCATTTTGATGGTTTTGTCATGTCACCGTACAGTATTGAAATTTTGTTGGCTGTCGCCGCAGCTCACTTGGCTATTCCTCTGCCTGTGGCGCCGGCACCCCAGGTTCTAGTCCCGTTTGGGGTGCGGGATTCTGTCCCGGTTGCTCCTCTTCCAGTCCAGCTCTTCTGCTGTGGCCCGGGAAGGCAGTGGAGGATGGCCCAAGTGCTTGGGCCCTGCACCCGCATGGGAGACCAGGAGGAAGCACCTGGCTCCTGGCTTCAGATCGGCGCAATGCGCCAGCTGTAGCAGCCATTTGTGGGGGTGAACCAACGGAAGGAAGATCTTTCTGTCTCTGTCTCTCTCTCTCACTGTCTAACTCTGCCTGTCAAAAAAAAAAAAAGAAAGAAATTATGTTAACTTTTCCATGTGGGAATTTTTGGAAATTAAGACTGGGCTTTATGTTTGGCTAACTTTTCTCAAGCAAATCATCATTACATAGGAAAGTATCTTCACTTAAGTTTATATTTCATAATGATGGAATTTATTTTAAGAAATAAAGGAAAATTGGGCCGGCGCTGCAGCTCACTAGGCTAATCCTCCGCCTTACAGCGCTGGCACACCGGGTTCTAGTCCCGGTCAGGGCGTCAGATTCTGTCCCGGTTGCCCCTCTTCTAGGCCAGCTCTCGCTGTGGACAGGGAGTGCAGTGGAGGATGGCCCAAGTACTTGGGCCCTGTACCCCATGGGAGACCAGGAGAAGTACCTGCCTCCTGGCTTCAGATCAGCGCGGTGCGCTGGCCGCAGCGCGGCGGCCATTGGAGGGTGAACCAATGGCAAAGGAAGACCTTTCTCTCTGTCTCTCTCTCTCACTGTCCACTCTGCCTGTCAAAAAAAATAAATAAATAAAAATAAATTAAAAAAGAACAAAAATTATAAAAAAGAAATAAAGGAAAATCAAAAGTAATTTCCTATGCTGATGATTGTGCTGCTGTACTAACTATAATCATTGTCCTATAGTGATAGCATTTAGGGATAAGAATAGTTTATATTTGTAAGCTATGCGTTAAGACATTTAAAACTTTATACTTATCTTACTTTTGTAATTCTAAAAGGTATAGCACCCAGCTTCTGAATACATTTTCTTCTGGTGTTTCCCTGTGCCCTTCCCTTTTTTTTTTTTTTAAATAAAGGCCAAGTTTTTGTTTGTTTGTTTAAGATTTATGTATTTGAAAGGCAGATGGGGCCAGCATTGTAGCATTGCAGGTTAAGTCTCTGCCTGGGAAACAGGCATCCCATATGGGCTCTGATTCAAGACCTAGCTGCCCCACTTTCAATCCAGCTCCTTGATAATGCACCTGGGAAAGCAGCAAAAGATGGCCAGAGTGCTTAGGGCTGGCCTCTGCACTCATGTGGAAAACCTGGAGGGAGCTCTGGGCCCCTGGCTCCAGCTTGGCCCAGCCCTCTACTATTGTGGTCATTTGGGGAATGAATCAATGGATGGAAGATTCTCTCTCTCTCTCTTTGTGTGTATGTGTGTGTGTGTGTCTTCTAACTCTACCCTTCAAATAATTTTTTTTTCAAAATCTTTAAAAAATGATTTTTTAAAAGCAGATTACAGGGAGAGAGAAAGAGGGAGAGACAGAGAGATCTTCTATCCACTGTTTCACTCCTCAAGTGGGCACAACAGCCAGGGCTGAGCCAGACTGAAGCCAGGAGCCAGGAGCTTCTTCTAGGTCTTCCATAAGGGTACAGGGGCCCAAGGACTTGTACCATCTTCTGTTTTCCCAGATGCGTTTGCAGGGATCTGAATCAGAAGTGAAATAGACCTGGCTCCCTTATGGGATGTTGGCATTGCAGGCAGAAGCTTAATTCATTGCACCACAAAGCTGGCCTCAGTCTTCCTGTTCAGTTTTCTGTATGGCATTGTGAAACCTGTAGAGGCCTTGATCTCTCTTGGAAAGTGTTCTGTTTTGCGTTTAAGTCAGTATCGTCCAGAGGTTTGATCAAGGGTCCACTTGACCCTGCCTGGATCTTCTTGAAAGTCCTGCTCTCATTTTTCATATCTTGTCTCACTGCTATTGTTCTTTCTCCCTCTCTGGCTTCACCAATCAGCAGTCATCCTGCATCTCTGTTAGGAGCCTGCGGTGCACATGGTGTGTTCAGCTGCCCCGCGGCCCCAGGAAGCCCTCACCACTGCCCCGTCTGTCTTGCAGCTCATGACCCTGAGAGGTTCTGTTCTGGAGGATGCCGTCCCCTCAACAGCAAAGCACTCGACAGCCAGGGGGCTGCCCCTGAAGGAAGTGCTGGAGCACGTGATTCCTGAGCTCAACGTGCAGTGCCTGCGCCTGGCCTTCAACACCCCCAAAGTCACGGAGCAGCTCATGAAGCTGGACGAGCAAGGGGTGAGTGGAGTGTGGCTTCTCAGGAGCCTTCCTGCGGCTCCGTTCCTATGGGCTTGCACAACGCAGACTTGCCTGCCTCATTCCGTGACGGGGAAACTGATACCGTTCATGGTGAAGGCTGTTCTCTGTGCAGTTACTCATTTTCCTTATTCTTAACTCTGAACTCTGGAGGTTTCATGTCAGAGTTGATAAGTGGGATACTTGCCCTGGGTTCTCTTTTGTTGGTCTTCCATACATGCAGTGATTTTCGAGTATCTGGAAATAAGGATAGCAGTAATTATGATACAGCACAGTAACAGTGTTATTCATTGATAATTACTACATAATATTAATGGCTGCCACTGATGAGCATGGTCACTAGGCTTTGTTGTAAGCACCTTAAATATCCCGGTTAGTCTCCCAACGCTGTGAGAATGGAATCTCACTGTCCCCCACTCTACAGATAAGAAATCTGGCAGAGATTAATTTACAAATCCAATTTCACACAGTTAATAAGTAGTGGAATTAGGGTTCAAGCACAGTGTGTCTCAGAGCCTGTGGTAGTTAGCCACAAAACCATGTACCGTTCCTACACGCTTAGATTTTTGAAGTCTGTTAATACCACCATTGATGTATTTTAGCCAAAATTAAAATGTTCAGCGTTTTCTCCCTCCATGCTTCTTGTGCCAAATATGGAGGTCTTTTAGGTCAAGATGTGAAGGTGCAACAGGCTAATACATGTGGAGGTAGCAGAAGCTAAGAGAATGAAAAGTTATGACCTGAAAAATTCACTCTCCGGAGAGTGCTGTCTACTGAGAGTGCTTGGACTGATTTGAACATATGGACTAATTTTGTAGATACTTTATCTACTATTTTTTACATCCTAGCAGGATATGATTGTAATTTTAACATTGCATTAAAAAATTCTTCCAAAAGTAAAATTTTCCCAGTTATTGAATGTCATTTTGGGAACAAACTTTTATGATATTTCCTTAATTAGTAAGGAATTTGAGTTTATTAAAATGAATAGGGCTCTAAAAAAAGAGTCATCTTCAAGGTATAGTTATGCTTTAAATTCAGCCAGTGACAATACATAATTACCTAAGTAACCAATAGTTGGGTGTAACTGTACTAATCCCTTTTCTATCCATTTTGCTTTTCATAATACACAGCTAATATCTGTTATATGTCTATATTTATAGAAATCTGTATCAATGTTTATAATATTAAATTTGAAATGCTGTGGATACATCAGAAGATATCTTATGCCTAAACTCAAGTATTTGGGGACAGTTTTTCAGTAAATATATATTCTTAAAAGGAGCGGTAGAAAAACGATGTTTAGGGTTAACTTTATTGGTTCAGTCATTTCAGTAACCAAATGTTTGGAGGAAAAAGACATTCGGCTTAAGACATTGTTAATACAGTCATGTATTTAACATTCTAAATTTACATTAGAACAGATTATTAAGAGAAGGATTAATTGCCAATTTTCTTCATTTAAATAATCCTGAATAAAAAGCAGATTCTTTAATTGTAGACATTTCATGGAATTTCTGGCATATTTTGTGTCCTCTGCTACTGATTGTAAATTACTGGACCACAGATGGTGCTGATCTGTGATGGACACTTTATAGTCCCTCAGGAAATAAAAGAACACTATAATATGTTTAATCCAAAGGAAAATTTATTTAATTCATAAAACTAGATGTTATTCTGAAATTATGGCTTTCTTATTCTTGAGGGTATTACATATCTTTCCCTCCATAAATTCTTAATAATAAAATATGATAGCTTTCTTTAATGCCTTTTGTAGGTAGAATTCAAGTCAGACAATCAGGGCGCGTCTCTCCAGTTTTATTTTAGAAAGAAGTGCCTTCAGTATGTTGCTGCGCGTGGTAGGAATAACATGAATGGCACGGCTTTCACTCTCAGGCAGTTGTGTCTGCTGGGCAGTGGCATCTGTGCATCTGAAGCCTGCTGCCCAGTGTCTACACTGAAGGGCATCACCTTGGCCTTGCTCTGTTCTGTCTCCATACAGGGCATTGAAAGTCATAGTTGTGCTGACAGAAAACACATGACACTCATACTGGGGCTTTTAGTCTAGGGAATCTCAGCAATGTCTTGGAATCGTTTTGAGAAACTAATTGTTTTGCTACCTTTACAAATACTCATTTCAAAGAGGAACATGTGTAAATACTGTGGGTTGTGCATATAAATCATTGCAAGGAATTTATTTTCCAAAAATCCCAAGTTTTTGTATAGCCTTATGTTTAAAGAGATTCATACTGTGGTAATCAGGAAGTTAGACTCAGTAAAAGGGATTTTTTAAATTTCCCTTTAAATTTTACTTAGAGGCCGGCGCCGCGGCTCACTAGGCTAATCCTCCGCCTAGCGGCGCCGGCACACCGGGTTCTAGTCCCGGTCGGGGCACCAGATTCTGTCCCGGTTGCCCCTCTTCCAGGCCAGCCCTCTGCTGTGGCCAGGGAGTGCAGTGGAGGATGGCCCAGGTGCTTGGGCCCTGCACCCCATGGGAGACCAGGAAAAGCACCTGGATCTTGGCTCCTGCCATCGGATCAGCGCGGTGCGCCGGCCGCAGCGCGCCGGCCGCGGCGGCCATTGGAGGGTGAACCAACGGCCAAGGAAGACCTTTCTCTCTGTCTCTCTCTCTCACTGTCCACTCTGCCTGTCAAAAAAAAAAAAAAAAAAAAAAATTTTACTTAGGTAATTCCTTTAATATCTTTTCTACTCTTACTGAATGACTTACATAATAATGCTTAGAAAAAGAAAACACAGTTTGTTTGCTGTATTGTGGCATTTTTGCCTTTCAGATCTTTGGTGCTTTATTTCCTCATTTTCTGCTACTGAAATTGAACTGAACAGAAGAAAAAATTAAATGTAGGATAGAAAAATGAACAAAGATGTAATAATTTGTTTGTCATTTGACTCAAGCATGGTAGGCAGGTAGGAGCCGAAGTGAGCGTTTCAGTTACTGGAGGAATTGATTTTAGGAAATAAATTGTGCCTTGCTCAAGCTTCCGGATTCTCCTTCCTGATACCTCCCTGAACCTTTCACTGTTCATGGTTAGAAAACTGCTGATGAGAAGATGAAACTAACCTTGGCAGTGCTTCACACTGGCAAGAAATTTCAAATGCTTTGTGCCTCAGAAACTTTGGGTCAGCTCTGAACTTGGTTTACTCATCGTGTCCCCAGATCTTCCTCATTGGATAACTGAGAGCCTCTCTCATGAGGAGGAGATTAGGTAAATGCGTGCTGCTTGGCCATGTTCTAATCTCTTCACTCCGTCTGACTCTGGGCGCATGGCAGCCCTGTGCAGTAGGTTCCGGTTACTGGCAAGGACTGAATCTTACAGAAGTTGTCATTGCCATTCCTCTTCCCTCTCATCCCTTAATAATTTTCCACCCTGGATACAAATTTGCCTAGTATTGCCATTTATTTTTAAGATTTGGAGGCTTTCCTGTATTTTTGCATTATTTTGAATCCTTAAAACTATGTTGTGAAGTATTGGGGATTTCATTGTCTGTTCTAGTCAACTTTTTAATAATATGACAGGTTTAGTTTTCTTTTAAAATTTTCCCTATCAGAGCCATTTTTCTTCCACAGTCATTGAAAGCCAGCTATGTCTCATCTGTTCTGTTCCAGGGCGGTGGAAGATTATCAAGCCAAGCCCTGTGTTAAATAATTGGCACATTTAAAGCACACATTACAATTATGAACATGTGACAAACATGCAGGAAGTGTCAACTGTTGTTGGTGACAGTAAAATAATAACTCTTTACACACACTTAACTCATTTATTTTCTGTAAATGTCCTGTTATACAAGGGTACTTCAATAAATTTGTGGAAAAGTGGAATTAAAAATGCGAGTTTATTTGGTGGCCAAAAGTTTAGAAACTCATGCAGGGTTTTTTGATAGCATTCTTTTTCTATGACCTTTTCAAAGACTTCTCCTAGATAATGTATTATATATATTTTTACAACCACTGGTGGCTTTCAAATCCAATAAAAGCTTATTGAATTTGATTCTCTGCAGATTCTTAAATTCTCTGGAGGATAAACAGGCCAGTAAGACCCCATCCTTAGCCATGAAGGAGACAAGGCCACGCATGACTATCCTGGATGTCAATGTTAGTATAGCACAAGAAACGCCAGCAGCCAGCAAGAGCAGTGCAAGCCAGGGTGTCCAAGTCATGATTGGCCTGTCGGTCAGAATGAGATGAGCCTTGGGAAGGCTGAGGATTCCACCAGACAAGAGAATAAGCAGTAGGGCGGTCTCAGCCCAGAACAGTGAGAACAGAGCGTCAAGGGACAAAAGCAGAGTGTGTCCACGGACAGTGAGCACATGTAGGGGAGTGATAAAAATGGCATTTTTGAGCAGTGACCAAACCAGGTCCTGTATGAAGCAGTGTTCTTGAATTACTTGTTAATCCTCAGAATCATTGATGAAGGTGTTCCCATTGCCCCTGTTTGGCAGGTAAAAGCACTGAGGCCCAGAGAGGCTGGTCACAGTTAGATCCATGGAGGCTGGTCTGGAATCCAAGGACGCAGACTCCAGAGCCCATGTTCTTTACCGTTACCAACATATCCTGGTTTTTGTTTCCCTCTCCATGAGTGGGAGTAGAAACTGGACAGAAGGTACCAGGTCTTACTCCTGCAGGCTTTGGTCCCTACGTTAAGTCTGACTAGTTAGATGCAAATAATACTGCAGTAGAGCTGCATTATAGGCACTTAAAGTACAACTGCCAGTTTGTAGTAGAGAAAATGGGTAGTTTTATAGTCATTTAAAAATACCAGATTTCCATACACAATTGTCATACACAAGTGAGCATTTCCACTGTTTTTTGGATGTTTGTTAAAAATGCAAGGAAACGAAAATATTTGTTGAGTTTTCTTTCTTTTTTTTTTTATTAAAGATGTATTTATTTACTTGAAAGGCAGAGTTACAGAGAGGCAGAAAGAGACAGAGAGGTCTTCCATCTGCTGGTTCACTCCCTAGAT